AACAAACTGAGATATTTAAATTCAAACTGACTGTTACTGAATGGGATTCACCAAGAACAATGACACATCAATCTTATTCGACTGTTAAAAATTCCAGGCTGGACCAAGCTGCATTGTGTCAAGTCATTAGGAATGATATGTACTCCCAGAAAACAGGGAAATTCCTGTGTACCCAGCCTGTAAGTACTGAAACTATGTAAGCACATACCCTGTGCCTAGCAATTCCTTTTCTGGGTATATAACTATTGCATGCCTCACTGGTCCATAGATGGATACATTGAGGGTATATACTATAACACCATTTGGGACTGTAAAAGGTTGGAGACAATTTGATGCCTGTCTTTGAGAGAGTGGAGAGGCAAACATGATGGATACACATCAAGTAATGCTTTACAATAATTATATGTAAAAGATTGATGAATCTAAAGTGTCCAAACATAAAAATTTGTAATGACTTATATAATTCAAAACACCTTACACACACTTAAATCATTCATAACCAAAGCAATTCTGTAGGAATATGTTTTTCAAAAGGAGAAAAAGAGGCTTCCCATTGGACTTGTTGGGATGGAGTATATGGAAGACAGAAAAAGAACTGGGGCAAAAGGAAGTAAATGAGTGAATATGAAGAGGGATCTTGTTGGAGGCTGATATTGATCACACATAATAAAGTGGGCAGCTTGATGATTACAAACCTTTGATCTGACATTTAGCTATTCATTTGGACATGCTTGGGTTGGTATATTCATATGATATGATTAGTGTGCCACTTCCTTCTCCATAGACAGGTCTCAGAGGAAGGTGAAGGCAGACCTTCCCCTATGTGTGTTTCTGTCTGTCTGTCTGTCCCCTTCCTCCTTCCTTCTCCCCTGCCATGCTTGCTTGTCTCAGGGAAACAAAACATCAAACTGTTTGTAAGTGGTAGAGCAGTGGGAAGTGGTCCCAGTTCCTCTCTGGATGAAGGGGCACATGATGTCCTGATGTACAGATAACTAGACTTCCCTTTCCAACAGAAAGTCTGGTAACCACGTGTTCTTCTAGAATCCACTACTCATTGTGTTGGAGTCTAGATTTTTGCCAATTTTCATTCATTTTTACAACCTAATAAAACTGAATTTTATGTCAGAAGAGACCCCAGAGTTTTCCTGGAGAGTGTCACAGAACAGCCTGACCTGGAAGGGAGATATCAGGGGGCAATAAAAAAAAGAATAATGTATAAAGAAACAAAACAAAACATCAACCTCTTCATTACTCATCTCTAGCTACCTTTTCGCTTAACCTCAAGGTCAACACAACCCTTTTATAGTGTTCACTGCCTCTGAGGATGAGCTAAGCCTGAGTTTTGTTTGCCTTTTATAGTATTAAAAGAGACTATGAAACCTGCCTCTCAGAAGATCATTTCACCAAGTCCCTGTGGCTCTGCAGGGAATATATTTGTTTCCTCATTTAAATTCATGTCTCTAAAAGACAAGTAGACCTTGGACGAAATTTCAGGAGACAGCAAATTATAAATAATGTATCCATATTTTTTCTTTCCCATACGACTTGTATATAATTCCCCCTGGAGCCTTGTGCAAACACCAGAGACAAGAGGACAGGAAGCTATTAACATGATTGAAAGATTGGAATGGGCTCATGTTGTGTAATATGAACGTAAGAAAAGGCATCTTGATCAAAGGAGGTTGTGAGGCCAGATCTTGTCTATAATAATGGTGTTGGGGGGAACTGAGAGGAGTAGAGGAAGGGAAAACCAAAACCAGGATATATTATGCGAGGGGGGGAATCTATTTTCAAAAAAAGACAAAAGAAAAAGAAAAAAAATACCACTATTGTTTACTATTATTTGTTACTATTATTATTGGCATCTAAACTATTTCCCAGACAATTAGATAATCACCTGCTTGAGAGACTCCTTTATCTTGATCACCCCAGGACAAGATGAGTGTTTGTTAGTGATGGAGGTTACTTTGAAGTCAAATTTTAAATTCTCTTTTCCATCAGAGAAGGCATAGAAAACTCTCACATCATCAGTGCATCCTCAGAATAGGATGCTAAGTGGAAAATGCAGATACTGTCAATTAAGTCATAAAGGATATTAACATCTAATTCCTTCAGCCCTGGTGTACTGTAATATAGACCTTCAGTGGTCCCCAGAATTGCTCAGCAGGATTAATTCCTGCCCCTGGGGTCTAGACAAGCAGCCTTTTCAATCTGGGATTGGGTAAGGATAATCTTCTTTTCACTTTGGTTATTTCCCCTTTTGGTACTTTTTCCACCCCCACCTTTAGGAAGCAAATGAACTTGTATTCTCTTCTTTGATAAAGTTTCCTCTTGAGGTGGGCAGAGACTGGGGCAGGAAGTAAGCAATTATTAACTGGCCAATGGCAATACAGCCCAGAGTAATGTCCCTGGAAAGATTTATACTGTTGTGGCAGACAGAACCTGACATTAGAGAGAGACTTTGGCCTTCATACCCTGCAAGCTGCACATATTCGTAGCATCCCTGAGCAGGGTATTAAGAATCTTAGTTCTCGTCTTCAGTTTTGTTTTATCATGAAGCCTCCATTTCTGCTGAGATTTAACTCTTCAGTTCATCTATCATGTCTGTATATATCAGGCTTTGTACTTGGGACTTGGACATGCATTATTTCTTGCCTAAGAAATTTTTACTCAGCATCTAGTTGTCTCAGTGGGTTCTGATAAATCTCCAAAACAAAGCCAGCAGGGTTTAGGATGCATCAGTGACTGAAATTTCAGCTTTCCATTAAAACCACAACTCCTAAACATGGATACTCTTTTGCTACATATTTGGGGATAGTGTGAGCCCATTGTTGGTAGCCCAAAACTCTATATTGTGAGTAGCTCAATTGGTAACTATATTCATTGCATAGACATTGAGCTCTTCAGTTCTCTTTCTTTTGTTCTGAGTTGACACTGCCTATGTTTAATGAGCCCATTGTCAACTGGAGTCCTGTAAGAAAAACAAATGAACCTAAACAGATACCAGCAGTGACCTAAACTGACCATCAAACCAAGCCATTAGCCAGCTTCCTCTCCACATTTCCAAGTTGTCAATTACCTGATTTAGTCCTCCCAAGGCCTTGGCTAGATCTGGAGACCCACATCCAAACTATTGCATCTAAGACAAGGCAGTGATGGGCAAGGGACCGGCTGTACTTCTCAGTCCAGAGGTATTTGGAAAGAAGCTGCTGCTGTAGATACCAAGACATTTGACACACTGTTCATTACTGCCAGCTGTGACATTAGCAGGATGGGAATGAAAAGCTCATCCAACACTGAGCATTTTGGTGACAAAATGATTCGTTTAACTCAGTAAATATGCAAACTGGGAGCTCTGTGCATCTGTTAACTGTGTTCTTTTTATAGTGAAAAACAATTCTTAATTCAGCAAAAAACTCCTCCCAGTGGATCTTTAGGAGGTGACTTCATAAGGGACCTTTTAATTAGCCTATGAATGTGCAGGGCTGGCTTTGAACAAGAGGTAACACCCTAATTCTGAATAAGGTATCTTTGAAACAGCAAAATAAACCTCATCAGAACAGACATTGAGTGTTCTCTAAGTTCCAGTTGGTAAGGATATGTCATGTCTTGGTTGTACGATCATGATTTATTTTTATTTTCCCATTAAAATATTTGCTTTTAACTAATGAACTCATTGAAGACACTCTGGAGAGTATTAAAAAGTATAAAAAAAGAAAGAAAGGAACTCATTCATTATTTCACTATCTAACAGTGACTTTGAAGTATTTGATCAGCTCTTGGCTTTGTCACCTAGAATGAGTGTACCAAGAAAAGGGGATTGGGGGGCACTTTCTGTTGCTTCTTTTGAGATGGAAGGGAAGGTTCTGGGACATGGAGGAGGACCCAGTCATCCTAGTACTCTGAAATTCAGGAAACCTGTGTTTAGGGATGAGGGATATGTTCCTATTAGCTCACTGATAGACACACCCTCATCCCTAAATGGGCAGGGTGGGCAGTTACACATCACAAACTATAAAGGGATGCCATGGAGATGGCAGAGAGAACTTTTAATATACTAACAGTTCAGATCCTGGGGTTGGACTCTGGAGTCAAATCTCAGCTATCTAACTTAAAAGCCATAGAATCTTAGGTAAGTTATCTCTATTGTACCCTACTTTCCTTGTCTGTAAAAATAAATAAATAGAGGTAATAGTCTATAGGACAGAGGCTGTTGTGGAGTTGAAATTAAATGAAGCTAAATAATGCATCTAATGTGTTTAGGAAAATGCTTGCCAGAAAGCCATGTAAGTCTTTGATTTCTTAAAAGCCTTTCTTTTTATTCTTTCTGTGGAGCCAGTAATCAAACCTATGACTTTGAACATATTAGGTAAAAGTATTCTATTAAGCCACACTCCTATTCCTGGGCTTCTTATATTTATTTATTTTGTGGAGCTGGGGGTTGAACCTGGGACCTCACATATGCTAAGCAAATGTCCTACCACTGAGCTGTGTACTAGCTCATATTCCTGACCTTTAAAATGATTCTACCAGTGATTTGAAAGATTGATTGAGATACTGAACACTCAAAAGTACTCTGTGCTTAGGAAGGTATGAGGGTTTATGAGGGTTCAGAACTGAAGGTTTCTTCTGTAGCGTTTACTAGAAGTGTTGCTGAGGACAGGCATCAAGGGAAGGATTGAGAGAGACAGAGACAGAGAGATACAGAGAGAGAAGAATTTTTTTTCTGGAGAAACATGCAGGAATTGGAACAAGAAGCAAGCTGATATCTCTACTTGGTGTCCTTAGTTGGTTTACATGGACTACAGATTTGGGCTGGTGTTTCCCTGATAACATCAGTGGTGGGAATTTTCTGGCAGAGCCTTGGAAAAGGGGAAGGAAGAAAGAGGAAGCTGAGTGTTTTTAATAGGCTCCTTCCAGGCCAAGGCTCAGCAGAGATACTGAGGAGGCAGGCACCATGTAGGGAGAAGAAGGCATCCAAGTGGCTTCAAGTCCCTCACCTGTGGTGAAGGCAGTAGAGGTGAGGCTACTCCGTGTGGCTTCCTGAGCTGCCTGCAGGAGCACTGTGTAGTCTGTGTTCTCTGACAGGCCCTCCAGTCGGATCCAGGTGTCCTCAGCATCCACAATCAGCTCCTGCAGGGAGCCAGAATAAAGGAGGCTGGGGCAACAGCTAACTTGCAATGTGGGACAGTAGGGAAGCTGGGTCAGCACTGCTGTCCTCCCTATCCCACAGCATGGAGGAAACTGCGAATAGGTATGGAGGGCAGCTCCCATGTGAGGTTTAGGCTGGCTCCTATCTCACAAATGCACATGGGATAAATTTAGGTACCTGGGTTATTGAGCCAGTGACTTCAGACTGCATTGGGCTTACTGTGGAGTAGAAGCAGCTGAGGAAGCAGAACCCTAGGCCTTCCCACCACCATCAACAAACCTGCTTTTCTTATACTTGTTCTCTACACTTGACTTCTATATATGACTTTCACTTTTAAAAGGAACCTACTGCAAGGGAAGGTTCACAAACTAGTGCTCTGATGGAGTGATGATATGAAACCAAAATTTATCATCTCCTACTGTAGGTTACATAGATGGTGCTTTTATAATGCTTATCAAGCCATAAAGGCCTCTTGGGTTTATTATATGGCTCATGTTTGCTTGGCCCTGTGAGTAAGAAATCATTCTGGTAACACGGGATTAGGAGTTTGTCATGTTTTACACCATAATGCCCAAAGTACCATCACACCTAGTGATGATCCAGAGAGGACACTGACTGAGAGAGGGCTAATGCTTTACCAGTGTGGGCAGAGAGCAGTAACAAAGCCACAACTTGGTGTTTCCTGGCTTATAAACCTGGTCTCTCTCCTCAATAGCAGGCTGTGTATCCAGGATCCGGAAAGTCATTGGTTCCTTCTCCATCCCTGCAATTTCCATGGGTCATTCCACTGGTCAGTTTCCACATGGGCTCACATGGGAGTGATGGCTTTTCCCCCTTTCCAGCTAATGCTTACCTTGCGGCTACCATCTGTGGACTTGTATGTTAAGACGTAGTTTTCAATCTCTGCTCTGGGTGGCTGCCAGGAGATGAGTGCACTTTGCCTGGTGACTTCACTGGCTGTCAGGTTGGCAGGAGGATCCAGGACTGCAAAGAAGAAAAAATGCTAGGGTGTCCCTATCTCTCCAGCTCTTCCTTGTTTGATATCAGGTATAGTGTGCTTGCTCACAGCGCTGTTCCCATGCTGACTCTGGTTCTGGCTTGGATGGGACCATAAAGGATGCTATTATCCTTTGAAGCTACTCCCACTCCCACAAGCAGGACTCAGGCCATCTTCCAATGCAACTCTTTATGATTAGACTACTGAACCCATCAGCCACTGTCTCTTTGAATTTGTAGCTATCTTGGATCTTCTCTTGTCCTAATGTTCCACTGGTCATGATTTTACCAAGAAGCTCACAGTCAATACCATACCAAGCTTTCTAATATTCAGAGTTTCTTGTACCAGATAGAGTCTTAGTGCCAGATTTTCTTGTATAGCTCTGCTATTGTCACATAGATTCTGGGTGTAGAAACCGAAGTGCTAATTGAATAGCAATACACAATACACTACTTGGACCACATTTGATCAAAACATGTTTGGGTCACCAAAACCTATAGCTTATTGTCTACTCTGTTACAATGAAGCATCATATTTAGTTATACATAATCCCCCAGGGATTATGCCATCCATGCAGGAACCTATACTCACGGGTAGAGAAGTTGGTGGCGATGGTGCCACTCATGAGCGGCCCACTGGTAGCATACATGGTGACAGTATAGTGGGTGCTAGGAAGCAGGCCAACAAGCTGAAATTCTTCACTGACTCCATCAACCAGGATGGTCTCTCCCGCAACTGAAATCAGATCCATACAGATGAGGAAACACCTACTATATCTAAAGGCTTTTCACATGGACTCAGTACCCAAGAATTCTGGGAAAACTACTGGTGATGGAGCTTATTGCCCCCTACAAGGATCCACTTTCATCTTTTTGTTTTTACTTTTTATTCTTCAGAAAGAGTATTCTGTACATGGAATAGCTCTCCCTTCTATGCTTGCCTCTGCAATTGAAGAGTAAGAAGAGGTGTTATCTGTTTTGTTCCATCCACTTTTCCCTATCAACTGCTCCCTCCTTTATACTGAGAAAATTCAGCGCCTGCCTCTCGTTACATTTGTACAACAGTTCTAAAGTTCCCACAGTCTTGACAGTTTCTCTCTGGACAAGAAAGTTTATCAAGGTCTCTGCTGAAATGCAAATCTTGGGAGAGAACTGAGAACAAAAATTGGTGCCATTGTTCAGTGCTGTAAACAGGGTCAGCCTGCTTCTGTGCCTGACACTTGTATTATTCCGGGCTTTAGGACAGCCATGTATCATTGCCATAGCATGCTGAATTTATTATCAATGACTTTGCTTATTATCACTGCCTTGGTTGATCGTTTTGACCTGTGGGAAGAGTTTTGCTTTTATTTTTATCATTTTTCACCTTGGTTGAGTTTTGGACCACAGTTTCAATTTATTAAAACGTCTATACTGTGGATTCAATCAGTCACAGTTTTGTTTTATATACAAATTTTATAAGCATGGCTTCTTGGTGCTCATTGAAGCTGTTAATAAAACTGTTCATTAGATCAGAGCAAAGCTCTCTGTTAGACAATTAGAATATTACTGAATCATTCAGCATTTAACAAAGTTTATTAGGCACATCTCCAAACTAGGTCAGACCTGATGCTTGACGTTTCTTGTGATCTAAAGGCAAATGAAACAAGGAATTCTTTGGAAGAAGGTACATCGTGACCATCTTTTTGCTATCCTACGCTGTGACATCCTGCCATTGCTCAATGCTCTCCTGTACTAAACTGTGATGGATACTTAAGTGCTCATCTCTCTCCAAATACAGGAAGGCTGTACATTTCCTTAGTATTCGCTTGCCATTTTTACTTTCTCTGAGATCTTGTTTCTTTCTTCCTCTTAGTACCCCAAATTCTAAATTGTGGTGATTCATTGGGTGGGGCTTACTATGTTCCATCTTGCATAGTTCAGGTCACAGCTCAGGTCACGCTGTATTTACTTCTCTGCATCATCACTGGAGGTGGGTTCCACAGCGATAAGAATTCAAGCATTGCTTCTGAACTTTTCTAGGTTAAGTGAGTTCATCGCCCATAGGACGTCATCAAAAGCATTTGCTGAGTGAATAGATGCGAATGAAGAGGATGGAACTGTGTGCCTTATCACTATGAGCAGGTGCTGACTGCCATACAGGAATGGGGGATACTTTGTCAGAAAGTACAGGATTGCAGCTAAGACCTGAAAGACAGGTTTTCTAGGTTGACTCTTGGAAAGAGGAGTGCCTAGCAGAAAAATGGCACATGGGCAAATGCATAGAGATTTGAAAAGGCTTAAAAAGGCATGCTGATCTAAGAAATGCTGGATCATGATATACACCAAGGGACAGTAGGAGTTGAGAGGGGGCTGTTCAAGAACATAGAGGGATTAGGATGTATTCATAGTATCTTCCTTTGAGAAGGATTATGCAATCAGATATAGTTCCTATCAACTCAAAACCATGTATGTTTCCATCTTAATTAAAGACTAAATGATATTCAACTTTTTAATGCCTTGCTGAAATGCAAATGTGCTAATAGAGTTGCAAAGCCAAAACAAACTGGAATCAACAAGAAAGCTTTGTGAACCTACAATGGTACATAGTAATGATGACTAATGCCTTTTCCATTTTGTTTGATAGTTGTGTGTTAGTTTTCAGTTTCCCCAACTTTGATGACAAATTATTCTTTGCAGCTTGTAGATCTGCCTTGTCTTCTATCTCTGAAAGTCATGCTGTCTGCCTTCTGTTTCCCTAGATTCTTGAATATAACTCACCAAAATTCTGTGATTACATGTTTAATTTTGGCCAAGAAGTAATTCCATAAGCCCAGATGTTTGGAAATGCTTCTGTTTTGTTTTGAGCTTCTCTATTCAACTTCAAATAGTGTAATGGGAATGAGCACTGTGAAAGCAGCACCAACATTCAAATTTTGGTGTTGATTCAAACTTTTGGGCCAGATATGGGTAGGGAAGACCAGTACAACAGAAATATTGCTTAGTACTTCTAAAGCAATTGTCACCTATTGTGGTGGTTTGAAAGAAAATGATTCCCAAAGAGAGTGGCACTATTAGGAGGTGTGACCTTGTTGAAGGAAGTATGTCACTATGGAGGCAGGCTTCCAGGTCTCATATATGCTCAAGATACCACCCAGTGTCTCAGAACACTTCCTGTTGCCTGTGAGTCAAGATGTAAGAACTCTTAGCTCCTTCTCCAGCACCAGCGCTGCCAGTATGCTGCCTTGCTTCCCACCATAAGGATAATGGACTAAAACCCTGAAAATGTAAGCCACCACAACTAAATGTTTTTCTGTTATAAGAGTTGTCATGGTGTCTCTTCTCAGCAATAGGACCCTAATTAAGATACCTGTTAACATGTTAATCTGTGTCAAGTTTGACACTATAACTTAATTATTTTTCTTGCTCTATAAACATCTAGAACAGTGGTTCTCAATCTTCACAGTGCTGTGACTTTTTAATACAGTTCCTCATGTTGCAGTAACCCCCAGCTATAAAATTATTTCCGTTTGTACTCCATAACTGTAACTTCTAGTATTATGAATTGTAATGTAAATATTTATGTTTCAGGATGGTCTTAGGTGACCCCTGTGAAGGGGTTATTCCATCTTCTAAGGGGTTGTGATCCATAGGTTGAGAACTGCTGATCTAAAAAATTCTTCTTTCTTATCTGCAGCCCTTTGGTGAAAATCTTGGCTCAGTTCTGAGCTTTGTCTTCCTAGTGTTGGCTCTGATTTAGTGTTTGTTCTTGGTTGCTCACCTTCCTTGAGCCTTTCAGACTGACTGTGTGATTCTCAGGAGTTGGGGGACATCTTGAGGACTTTGTAGAGCTTGGGGGGTTACATAATTCCCCAATCTGAGGTAATTTCTGATTTGACTTTTAGATAGGTAAAATGAATTATTTCTTCACTTCCATACTGGTTTGAAGCTCCGGCCCCACCACCCTCACCTGCAAGCACTCACTTGCAAAGTGTGTGAGGACAATGACATAGTTCTCTACTTCACCCATGGGTGCTTTCCATTGAAGCAGGGCTTCTGTGGGGGTGATGTTGGTAGCAATCAGATCCACAGGACTATCCATGGCTGAAACAGAACAGGATAATAACGGGTTAAAGAGCGAGCAACTGCAGGACAGAAGTACCACAAACCATCAGATTTTTCCCATGTGGTCCACGTCTGTCACTCCTCTGGATAAAACAACAGGGTGCAGACTGATTCTTTATCTGGCTCCATTCATCTCTTTCTTTCTTCCCTTTTCTTCGACTTTTCAAATACCCACTTCTCTCCCAATTTCCTTAAGTCCTTCTTTTAAGTTAGTTCATTAACTTATTTTGTTCAGAATTCTTTGACAAATTCCATGGGAAGTGGAAAATTCAAAATACTCTGTTGTACTTTAGATGTTTCAGTCTAGATGGTGTGAAGGACCTTTTGAAGACGTTATGGTTCCTTAGCTACTGGGATAATTCCACTTTCTGGCCCACTTGTTCTTTCACACATATAAGGGTGACTTTGTGGAAAGATATCTGTGACCCTCAGGAAGTGTGGTGGAAGTTCAGGGAACTCATAAAAATAACTCTCAGAGTCATATCCACAAATTCTTACATCACCATTCACAAGCTTTACTCTAGACTGTGTTCAGGGCATCCTTCTTGTTGCATGAGAGCCAAGGGGGATTCACATTATTGCTTAGGGAAGCCAAGCTTACCTATCAGGAGAAGAAAAGTTTGATAATGAATGCATTATGATTTTACTCACCCAAGGTGAAACTCTTGGATTTACTTAGGTGTGTCCTTTTCATGAAGTTGGAATTTATTTATAAAGTGGGCATTATTATAACAACTTAAGTGTTAGTTCATCCTGAATCATGCAATTTATGTTTGGGAACCAAAATCCCCTCTTAGTCTACCCCTGCTCTTAATTAAGTGAGTTGTATTTGTTGGGTTTTTTTGGTGTTTTTTTTTCTCCTTTTATGTTTCTAATCATAAAGTAATGATCAAAAACCCTCATAATTTAATGTTTTGAATTTTGTCTATAATCTGTGCTTTCAAGAACTTCTTCAAATACTGCTCTTATTTCTGAGATATGGATGGTTTCCTGAAAGGGGTTTTCATTTCAAAAAGTTTTAAGATTAATGTGACTACTTTAAGACTTCTGAGTATAGCACAGGTCCAGGAAGTTACCTGAACAGCTCTTGCTAACTTGAAGGAGGACAATGTGACTTGTTGAGCCACTGAGTTTCTGCTTTGGAGATGTCTGTTGCCTGTGGCTAAGAATCCCAGGAGTTAGCCTTCGGCCCTAGTCATAGCCTTCTTGGGAACAAGATGTTCTAGAAATCCATTTTATGATTTTCAATGATAATTTTCAGGAGGGTAGGAAAGGGGCTTTCTTGGCTCAGTGGACATTACTTTAGGTCAACATTTATTAACCAGATGCCTTAAGGATCACAGATAATTAGAAGATTGGGACCAGACTGAAGGATGAACATAGATAGTACATCTACAGTCACAGACCTGGAAGTAGAGAGACTGGGAAAGGTTAGAACACCCTGTGCTGTCATGAGATGTTTATGTTTCTGAAAGATGTTTTTGCCACTGTGTAAAGTGACGCTGTTTTGGCATTTGTGAAAGAGTATCTACAAAGCAGTGAGGAATTCTTAGGCATGTTTCCTTCCTTCAGGAAACACCATCTCCAGGGAAATTAAGCAGTGTCAGGAAATCCAGGTGTTCACTTAATGAGGCAGGCTGAATGTTTTCCTACAAGTAGTGGAAACGATGCTTTAACTAGAAGGTCTTTTCTCTGATGTTGAGGATAGAAACTGATGGTTGTGCCTTCTAGTGACATCTATAGCAAATCTTTGCTGAGTCTACCAATATACTTCTTAAAGACCAGAGAAGAAAGGCTAGGGGAGCTGCCAAAACAGAACCCTGTCCTAGGCTTATCCAAAGAGCTAGTTTTCTGAAGAAGGCATGGAAAGAGGGGACTTCTCTTCCCCACTATCCAATATTACAAGCTGTTGTGTCTCCCCTGTAAAGGGGCTTGAGGACATAGAGGACACTTGGATCTAGTTATACAGCCTGTAGGAGGACAAGGACTATACAGTGTTCCTGGGGGTGGCTGGGGATGCTATGTGAGTCAGCCTCACCTCCACTGCTGCTGCCTTCATACAGGTGAAGGACTTAGAACCTTTTTCCTGGAACATAAAGCAAAGGCAAAGCAGCTGCAGGGTGGCTATACAAGATGAATAATCTCACCCCTGAATTTCCTGTAACGGGATAACAACACTTCCCTGAGCCCTCAGCCCCCCCCCCCACCAATGTTAAAGAGATCCTATGATTCAAATGTCTGCTGTGGAATGTGTCTCCACTATGCATCTTTGAAAGGGCATTCTTCATAGTGGAAATTCCATGAAAATTCCTGACCTGAACCAGCAAGACTCCTCGAGTGTGACTCACTAAACTCCTATAATTAGATAAAAACAGTCTGGGGAGAGAGATTACAAGTTGCCCTGCAGGACACAGTGAGTCAGAGGAGGCCAAGGAATGGCGCCGTGGCCTGGAACCTATATCCGCAGTATGAACTGAAATAATTTCACCCTGCTTCCTGTGTTTGTTTCAAGCCTGCTGCTCGTGTCGTGTCCTGACCTGACACTCAACAAGGAAGCCATGTTTACCTGTGTGTACCAGGGTGCAGATGCGCTCACTCTCCTCCCTGCCCCGAACACTGTTGAGGCTTATTTCATATTCGGTAGCTGGATACAGCCTGGTGATGGTAAACTCGGTCACAGTGTTGGGCACCACAGAGCTGTCCAGCCGTCCCACTAAAGAAGAACGAAACCCATCATTAAAAGTTCAACAGCTCTCTCATCAGTGGGTCCATGGCTCAGTGTACATTGGGACAGTCGGTCATGAAGCACAGATGGATGTGGGCTCAGCATGCAGTAGGGAAGGCCGATCAATAATTCATAAGATGGTAATAGTGGAGTTTAAATAAATCTTATGTGCTGACCTCACTCTCATTTTATAGGCTTCTTAGAACAAAAATAAATGCATTATTTACTATGTTGGTTTCTATCAAACTGGTTTTCTCCAAGGTGACCATGTCAAAGCAGTATTGTGGGCACAGCTGAAAAAAGTGCTCCATGCAGCCCAGGGAAAGGTAGCCTGGAAACCTGTCCTACCCCTCGCTGGAAGTGGGCATGCCTTTCATGATGTTAACAATGCCTCATGCACCAGCAAGAGCTGGCAGTATGCAGGCAGGGTCCCAGCCAACATCTCTGAATCTCACACTGGCTACAATGGCAGAATTAGGATCACATCACTGTGGTTCCCTCCAGGGCTCCATCTGGCTCTGCTGGGTCTTTATCCATATCCTGGATCCTAGCCTTAGACTTTGTGTTCAGGAGAGTACATGTAGGCCTAGCTCCAGGCAAAGTCTTTTAGGGTTCATTCTCATTGCACAGCCTAGCTAATGGTGTCCAATTGCTTCCACTGGTGAAGTGCCTGGCTTTCTTGGTCACGTAATCAAACCTATTTTGAGAGGAGTTGGTGAACTCATATTTTCCCAGTTGTTCTTCACTGACACTCATTCTGAGGGAGTATGCTACAGAGAGGGGCCAACGTCCTGTGGATATGACAGCACCCCCATATTAGTCTCCACAAGGCTTCAAATCTCCTTTATGTGTGAGAAATAAAATCATTTCGTTACCTTGTGTGGGTCGGTAGGACACTCGGTAGTAATCAAAAGGTGCAATAGGAGAGCTCCAGGAAACCATCACTGAATCCTTAGTCACATTGCTAATTGTGATGTTTTTTGGGGGATCGATTCCTACAAAGATCAGGGAGTTGTGGGAAAAGACAGAAGCACAGTTTGAATATGGAATTTCTACTCCTGGTTTTGCATTGATCCAATAGTGTCCCATAGGCAGGCACGACCCTACATAACTAATGGCACATGCCTAACAAGAGGGCCAGTGCGATGTCACACCTGAAACATTATAGCTATTGCCAAAGTCAGTTTTGAACATTCTAACAAAAGGAAGCTAAGTTAGCAAGATCTGTGCTTCTGTGAAACCATTACTACCTATCTAGACCAACTAGTAACTTTCCTTTTAAGTTCCTGTATTTTATTTCAAATAGGGAATTACATGGTTATCTTCTTTGAGGGAAACTGCTCTTGGAAAGACACAATTTTGCTACCATCTTTTTTTTTTTTTTTTTTTAGCAGCCACCTTTGGTTCAATTTGGAAAAACTGCCTATTATCTGTAGAGGGATTTCAGAGCACATATTCCAAACAAATACACTTTGCTAAGTTGCATTTTATTTATGGTACATAGTTAAATTGTAGGATTAAATCAGCTGATGGTTTAATATATTTTTCAATTCATGAGTTCTTGTCAGTATGTAGGGAACTACCTAAACACAGGTGTTCTTATGTATACACACATCATATTTGGGATTACATTTGCAAATGATCAAATGGTAATGACCCAATTCATCTCAGAGTGCTGTGTTTTCTAAACAATGTGCACATCAACCCTAGTCTCTGAGTGTCAGGTTGCTACATGGTTGCATGCTAGCTCTGTGTTGATTCTGGGGAAGAATCATATGTTAGGTAGTCAAGAGATGGCTTTCCAGAACAGAAACAGCATCTTTTCACTTGGAAGGATTCCTTTGGAGACCAGCTTTCCCAGGACTTTTTCCTAAGCTGCTAGATATAGGACCAATGTATTTAAGACTTGAGTCCTCCAAGCACTGGGTCTATCATGAAGCCCTGGAAGAAGTATCTGCTTCAGGAAAACTCACTGAGGCCTGTTAGCCGTAGACTCAGTATACTATTGTTTGAATATTTCCCTTTTTAAATTGCATTGGCTTATCAAAGGCTACTGTGAGAACCCTCTTCACCATCCTTTCCAGCCTCACCTGTAGTGATGGAACCCACAATGGGCTCAGAGGTTACTGTCCCATGCACAGCTACAAGGTTCACTATATATTCAGTGGCTGGCTGTAGCCCCAGCAGGACAGCATGCCTCTTGGTGGCATCTAAGAGGACCTCCATCATCTCTTCCTCGTCATCTCTGGGGTTATAGTTCAGAATGAGTCTGTCTGCTGGGGGAGACGGGTCACTCCAGGTGATGTTGACACTGGAGGAGGTCACATGAGAAAAGTGCAAATGGGAGATGGGGCGGAAGCCTGCAAAGTAGAGAAACACATCCTGAAACGTGTGTGACAGGAGGTCGTTGAGCAGAAGAGATTCATGACTTCCTCCTTTGCTAATGAGGGCTCTAGTCTCACCTCCTGGCTCAGAGTACCCACCACACTCCAGTTCAGCCTAGTCAATTCTTCCCAAGCCATACACTGAACCATCAATTCTAAGTATTTCTGTGGAATATTCATAATACTGATCCAGGATTTAAAAACCCTTAACTTGGAAAAAATGTGACATAGAGCCTTAGCATTCCCACTGATTTAATGAAGGAATGGCAAGATGGACAAATCAGCTACTGTCTAGACTGTACAAAAATCAGACATAAAATTTCAGATGTGTGGCCTCCTCACTCACCCCTTCCCTTTACCACCAAATAGTTCCTTTTCATGTATATATTAGTTTTTCCTCTCTTCCCCCTACCCATCTCTTTTAGTTTTTGGAAGACTGAGGCATGAGAATGACCTTATCACATTAAGAGCTATTTATTCCTGAACCTCACTGAGATGTCTGCCCCTGGTACCTGTGAAGGCATCCACAGTAGACTCCAGGCTCTGCTGCCGACCCCTCTCAGCAGTGATAGAGATGATATATTCTGCTCCAGGCTCTAGATCTGTCAGTGTATATGAAGTCCTGTCCCTAGGCACAGTGACTTCTGAGGAGATCCCAGAAGATGGGGTAAAAGTAATTCGGTAGTGGTCAATGGGACCACTAGCCTTGGTCCAGATGAGAGAGATAGAGGTCTCTGAGGAGGCTGTTACCATAAGGTCTCGGGGACTGTCAAGTTCTGTAGATTAAGATAAGTTTTATTTATTTGTTTATTCATTCATTCATTCATTCATTCATGGTCTTATGTAGACTAGACAGGTCTTGAACTCATTATGTATCAGAGGATAACCTTGAACTTTTGATCCTCTTGCCTCTGCCTCCCAAGTTTAAGATTACAGGCATGTATCACTTCACTTGGCAATTAGCCTATTTCACATTGGCTCTGTAGGACAGCCACTGGTTATTGGATTACTCAGTATGTCTCCAGGGTGTTGATAGACCTGCTGACCATGAGCCCTAGGTTGTCATGGCTGATACTCTTCTCACATTTTGTTAAGCAGCTTCCCTTTAAAAGATGCCCAGTAATATACAAACAATGGACAGTCTGCAGAAAGGGGTTATTAGCAATGATACACTGGAATACATTCATCCCTGGAATAGATCTAGTTGCTGATTTGTAAGAAGTCTATACTTATTTTCACTCACCCTCCCTTGATAAGTCAAACAGGCATGAAGAGGAGCCAGCACCACATTGGATAAGGTGTTCATGGTAACTAAGTTTCCCATCTTCCCCTCCCTGACTGGGGGATTGTTATTTGGGGTTGTTCTAACCACAGGTGTACAGGTCTGCAGGCTTCTGGAGACTCTTATCAGTGTGTTCCTCTAGCAAGTTTATTTTGGCTAGACTGAACCTTGGGGGTAAGGATTGGTCCAAACCTGTAGCCCTACTTGGTCTAAAATACTTATATTTAAGCTTACTAGAGTGACTTTGAAATTTCCCAAGGATGTGTAAGGGAAACTGTTGGATCCACAGCAGTAAGAATTTTTACCATTCTACTTACCAGTCCTAGCATTCATGGTAGCAGGAATGCTTTGTTTTGAGTTCATGACCGCAGATATTCCAACTCCATATTCTGTGCCTGGTACCAGATCTGTGTATAGATGCAGAAACAGACATTATTCCTCTCTCTCTCTCTCTCTCTCTCTCTCTCTCTCTCTCTCTCTCTCTCTCTCTCTCTCTTTCTTCCTGTGTGTGTGTGTGCATAAGTGCACATGCACACACATATGAACACACAGGTTTAAGTGATGGGGAAGGCTAAAAGGAGAGAAGAAAATGATCATAGAGTCCTGTTTAGATTTCATGTTTAGTCCACCTTCAGATTGCTCCTAATTTTACCCATTAAGAAATCCCCATTTTGCTACGTGGTAAATCCATATGAAGTCAGTAGGATGAACTTGCCAGTGCCAAGTGGCTGCTTGTTATGGTTATCAGAATGGCAGTGAGGCTTCCCCTGTTAGTGTCCTTGGAAAAAGTAGTCGAGTCTAAAACATTTCCCCGTGTACATGGGTCTCATGTTAGCTAAAACAGTGAAGTGGTTTCCTGTTTAAACTGTAAGGTGTGAAGAAAATGTAATCAATAGGGACAGTGTAAACATGAGTCTTGGATGAGTTTCTTGAACATGTATATGAGGGTTATATTACACATTTTACAAATAGATCCTGAGACCATCTAGGGATTTTGAGGTCATTTCTAGAAAGTCATAATGTATAGACTTTTCCTTTGAACATGGGACTATCAGGCTTTTAGCACAGATGTTTGCATAAGTCCAGTACTTGTGAACACCCCAGCAAGGTCAGTCACTCAGTCCAGGGTATGTAAGCTATGGATCAGTTATACTTTACAGTGGCTTCTGGTGAACTATGAGTGTTTGAAGGAAATTCAAAATTAAAGGGTGTAAGCCTCATGGAAATCCTTTGGGAGTTCATTTCAAAGGATCGCTGACAGGTTCTTGGAGCATCTGGAATTCTCTAGAGTCTCTCAACTGTTCCACATTCATTTTCATATCAACTGGTTTGATTGATGTAATAGTTTCCTATTGCTGCTGTGACAAATTACCAAGATTTAGTAGCTCACAACAATACAAATTAATGATCCTCTAATGCGGGAGGCCTGGAATCTGAGATGGCTCAGCAAGGTTGCATCCCTTCTGATGGTCCCAAGGGAAGAACCATTTATTTGCTTTTTCAGCTTCTAGGGGTTGCATAAATTTCTCATTTCTTGTTTGTGAATTTACCTGCAAAGCCTGAAGCTTAACATCATCAAAACCTTTTCTCTCTGTTTGATCTTACATGTCATTGCCATACCTACTTTGACTCTGACCTCCCTGAATCTAACTTATAGGGGCCGAGGTCAGTAAGTTGGACCCACCTGAATAGCACTGGCAAAGTCTCTACCACAGAAGGTGACATAGTCACAGATGCTAGGGATTAGGATATGGATAACTTTGGGGATCCTTATTCTTCAAACTCACCCTTACTTATTAAAACTTAGATTATAGAAAAATGTAGTGATCTAATTGCCATCCCTGGGGGCCTTCAGGGGTTGGGCTAAGTCCTTCCAGCAGGTTTATTATGAGGCCTGAGCACTATAGATTGTAAGAATCTCTTGGGTTTGTGCAACACTGTTTTTCAAGCATGATTGTGCTTGGAGCTTCATAACAATCCCATGAAGGTGGATGAGCAGTCTGTATCCATCCTTATTGATTACCTGTGGCTACTGCCAGAAACTACTACAAACTGGTGGCTTAAAGCAACAGAAACATATTCTCTCACAGTTCTGGAGCCTAGATGTCAGAGGACAAGGGACCATGCTCCCTCCAAAGGCTTTAAGAGATCCTGTCTTGCCTCTTCCTGGAGTCTGGTGGCAATGCGTAGCTTTCTTTGCCTGGCTTGCAACTGCACCACTACAATTTCTACTTCTTCAGTCTTGTGACATTCCCGTGTTTCCTAACCTTAAAAGGACACCAGTTTCTAGCTTTTGTTCAGTTCACACTTTGTGTGATTACAGCAGATGCTTACCTGGTCTTACCCATCTGTCTCCCTTGAAGGAATGCAGTTGGGCCCTCTCTGGACAGAATTAGAACTAGGTCCCATTTTTCCACCTCAAACCAGTTTGTTCTTTCTCTCTAACCCTTACTTGATTCTTTCTTGAGTCTGTCAGCCTAAGAAGACATAAAGTTTGAAGTACAGCAGGCTTTGGAGTCTGGTGTGCTTTTATATATTCAGGCCCAGCCACTTTCCATGGTATAACTTTGACTACTTAATATCTTTAGCCCCCGGTTTCTGAAGAATGGGAATAATTAACTTGGATGTCAGAGGATCATTATAAGGAGTAGGTGAATTTTCTGTGTACAGGTCCTATACTATAATGATTGTCATCAATATTATCATTACCCAGCACAGAAAAGTATGCTAGGATTTTTTTAAAGCCTTTTCATGTAAGTGGTTTTGCCATTATCAAAAAGTGCCCAGGAATGCACAGGTTGGTTGTGGTACACTTTTTGTTGGTTTGCTGAAGCTTGGCTCTTGACTCTGATGCAAGTGAACAAATAAACAAATAATAAATAAATAAATGGTTCATGGAGTCAGGGTGTTAGTGAGGAGTGCTCCCTGGCTGGTCTTGGTATTTGTCTCTAGACTGAGTGGGTGAATGCAATGCATATAGACCTGTTTAAAACACACTTTCTTTGCCATTGGTATAGTCCACTACCCCCAGAACACTCCTAGTTGGAGAAAGAAGGTTATCTTTGGGGGCACAAACTGCTTTTCTCAGGCAAATGATTGAGACCTTCAATCGCCAATAACAAAGTAGAAATTTTGCAACGTAGGGTGACAGATCAGGAGAGTAAGACAGAAATTATACGTTGCCAAATGGATCTAGCATGTAATGTTTTCATCCCAGTTTCTTATTTATGAAGCTTAAATGAAACGCTCAATAATTTACAGCAGAATTGCCTTCTCCCAGAAAACAGCAGATGTTAAAGCGCTCTTCCCAGGCTCTCTGTCCAGGGGACAGGGAAGCAGGACTCTCTTACAGACCTATGTCCGCTGCTTCCCTTTGCTCTTCTGCAGCTTTCTTCCTGCACTGCAAGTCAATTGCTGCTCTTTTCTAGCCTGCAAAGAACAGTTCTGCCAGAGAGGAAAATGTGTATCCGAGGCATATCTAGTGTACTTCCCTCTCAACACACAGAGCACTCACTCTGAGAGATTTGTTTTTTCACTTTAAAGACCCCATTGCTCTCCATCAATGCTCCCTTTATTTTCCATTCAACTCTTGCGAGTGAGAGCATATAAATGTCTCTGTTCCCTTTCTTAACAAAAGCTCAGACAATTCTTCCCATAGGACTTCACTATTCTCCATCCCTTATAGAACTTCCTTTGTTTGGCTTGAGGGTTGATGCTTCCCCAAACTGTCACTACATGCCCATTCTTCTCTGAATCCCTAAAGCACACATCTCATCCAGCCCGCAAGTATTACCAAGGGCCCCCTTTGTGTCAGGCATGAGGCTGTGGATATGAAGTGAGCTGATAAGACATCACGTTGTCCTTTTGAGGGTCAAAAAGGCATCTGTACTGGAAAAGTAAATTAATTACTTATTGAGTACCCATGCTATGCCAAACACTGAGCTGAAAGTAGTAGGTGATCTGGAAGAAGGAGGAGGAGAAGGAGGAGGAGCAGAAGCAGAAGCAGGAGGAGGAGGAGGATGAGGAGGAGGAGGAGGAGGAGGAGGAGGAGGAGGAGAGGAAGAAGAAGAAGAAGAAGAAGAAGAAGAAGAAGAAGAAGAAGAAGAAGAAGAAGAAGAAGAAGAAGAAGAAGAAGAAGAAAGGGTAAGAAGAAGAAAGGGTAAGAAGAAAGATGAGGTTTAAACAAGGATTCCGAGTGTCTGATGGTAAAGACAGTCCAACTGTACTTTTTACAGAGACCCATGTATGCCTGTATTAACTCCCGTGTAGCTTGGCTCATGAACAAATGTGGGCTCAGAGATGTTCATCCCTTGACCACAAAGCCTAGTACAGGACAAAGCAAGGTTTAGAACCTGGTATCTTTCCCTAATTGTTATATAACTTAGCTTTGGGGACTGGTGTGAACAAACTGGAACCTGAGAGTCATTTATGACAATTCTGTGTGCTGTTAACTAAGAGTGGCTTCTGAGAAGGGAGTTAACTTGGCTGTAGCAGCCGGAGAAAGAACTTGGACCGGGCCTTGAAATCCAGCTAAGATGAAGAAAGGCAGTGATAGAGAAAGTAGAGTCTTTCTGTGGTCGGAACAGGGCACGGCAAGAGCCAGTGGTTTAGTGCAGGCTGGAAGGCAATGGACATGAGCCAGAGCTCTCAGCTGCACTGCAAGGATGGCCGCGATGAAGACAGAATAACTCACTTTCCCACTCTGAGGAAGCCTATGCTTGCGGTGACTAGTGGAGAACAATGGGGCTGGTAAAGGAGGCCTAAGGAACTGTCTCTTGCCAGCAAAATCATAAAAAAGTCACCTGGCATCTGTAGGCTTGATTGGCTTCCGTCTCTAAATCCCCAGGTCTCTCTCCCACAAGCCTATGAAACTCAAGGGCACCAAACTGGGAACAAGGATTTAGTTAGTCCTAGTTCTCTGGTTGTTTTCACAGAGAGGGACAAACCATGAACCTTTCCTTTCCTTAAGGAGTTTGCAGTCATTTTCTTAATTTTGACAGCATATGTCAAGTCATATATGACAAAATTACTTATGAAAACAAGACCAGATGTCATGTCCCAGCTCAGCAAAATTCCTTGGTAGTGGAATTTTGAGGTAGAGTTGTTACAGATGGAGAGAGGTCTGGAGACAGAGGGACTTCTAAGATGTCCTGAAATCATACCTCATGGGCAATGGTCTGGTTTTTAGCTAGATTAGCCAGATGGAAAGCCAGGCTCCCTGGCCCTGCCCTCCCATCTTGGATAAGAAGGGCTTCTCCAGTGAGTCAGCCTTTGAAGGAGATTGCTCTGCTGATGGGGGATATGAATGAGGGTAATGCACTAAAAGGGGCAGTGACTCCATCTTGACTTTAAAACCACATTTAAAAAGAATGCAATATTAAACAACATCCTCTCAGATGGGACTCTT